GACGCTCAGACAATGGAGAAAAAAATTCTGTTAATTGAGATTTGTCTCCCGATATCATGGCAGCATTGACGTACTAACATCTAACCATAAGTATATACAAAATCAATATCTTACCTGATGAATTATGAATCCAGTACGATGCATGTACCAATTACTATGTAACATAATGTCTGAAGAATGAATGCCTCAGAGACCGCAATTGTATTACCAGATATCTTTTGATAACCTGGAAGCCAATATAATCATATTGTGGAATGTTTCGCTATTTTATTTAGCGATGCCCGGCGTTCTAGGACCAAGTCTGATGTAGGTTAAATACTCTTAGGGCTTCCAGGTTATCGGTATATACTATTCGATTAATCATCCTCGTTTATTCGATAAAACCTTCCCACCGGGGACATGTTACCTTGATGAAAGACCCCATCTTGGTATGTTTGGATCCAATACCTCTGGTCTGCCGGGACTATAAACTGGTGATGATCAGATGTATTTCTTTGGAATGATTTGATTTGGAGTCGGACCAGAGAACCACATAATCTGGTACTACGGTGGCCTGTTTCCCCAGGACTTTGTCCTGGCTGGTCAATTGGTTTAGGTTTCTTCGTGATCCACGTAGGCGCTGTGGTTTAAACCCAAATTCGCGGGAAGAGAATGTCGGTTAAAGGACTGATGCACGATGAAATCTATAATTTGGGATAAGTTCGGTAATGTTGCCGAAGTCAACAGATACTGCACAGAGGAGTGACTTTGGAATTTACCTTTGTATATGATACAGGATGAATGTACGGATATTACCCGCCCTTATATCTAGAGTGAGTGTGTTGGATGTTGTTCTCAATGAGTGTGTCGGATGAATGAGAAATGTGCTGGGTTGAATGATGATGGATGAAAGGTATCTTATATTAGTGATACAAATGAATTTTCCTTTCTTGTCCAGGTATGTTCAGGGAAAATTTTGTTCATACCAGATTTACCACAGTGTGTTTTCTGTGAGTAAGAAAAAAGTCCTCACCTTATTTAATGGATTTGTGTTTCGGACTACCTAGGTGCTGTTGCCGACTCAACCGAGGACAACAAGCATATGTGGTTGTAAACGGAAATGATGTTTTTACATCTCGGAAGTTAAGCAATGGGACAGCAATGGTCATATATTGGATAGCATGAGTACTTGAGCAAAGTGCTTGTACATGGACCGGCAGAACCATGTATAAAAAGGGGCTTTGGTGAGTCCTCACACCTCACCTTGTGGATGAAAAATAATGACCGTGAAGTATGCCTATACGGCAGGTGTTCGCATAAAGCATTTCGACGTTCATTCGATAAAACCTAAGTCACTTCCCAGCCCGTTTTATAGCTGATAACTCAGCCTTAACAAAGCTGAAAATTAAGCCTGAAGAAAGGAGATTGATCAGATCGATACTATAAATGGTACTGAGTACTAATTGAATTGATTACCACTTAACCAGTTATCTTGAGCTATAGACCAATTGGTACTTTAAGATCTTTATATACTATAACTTCACTTAAAGAGATTTCCAGAGACAAGGTTCCTGCCTTGGCTACTTTACTGCTCTTTTGGCTGAAATCTAAAGTTATATTGATGAATCCACAAAAAAGGATTTCAAATATCCACGCCCCTGTTAAAATATGTTATTAATATATTTCATATGAACTTTTTTGCATTAATGTTAATATTAATTTATTTTTTGTACATTTTGCTATTAAATAATTCGTTTTTTTTTTTTTTTCGTTAATACTTAATTCTTGTACACAGTTTTTTAATGTAATTAAAAAAACAATTGTTTAACATAAAAAATTCATAGCTTTCAGTTAAGGGTTTTTTATCGTTCTCAGAGTTTTTTTTTTGGTGAATGTTCTGTCATATCAATATGGCTGGTGGTGCTGTAACATTATTACATTTATGATTTTAAATTATATTCACTTGTAAATTTGTTTTCACACTTTTTTATAGTGAATTCTTTATTTTATATTAAATTAAGCAGAGATTCTTAAACAGTTTACAGAAACTAAAAATTTTCCAAAAAATAAGGAAAACATTTAAAATGTTAATAAAGATTCTTTAATAATCATCTAGGGTTGTAATTAGCTTTACTTTTTTTATAGTGATTTAACATTATTTAAGATTCTGTGCCTTTAGCATTAACTGCATATGAAAAAATTAAAATATTTATTAATGTCTCATTTTATTTCATTCGATATTGTCATGTTTATAAAAGTTTCATGTGGTTTTTTCAAAGGCCTTTAATTATTATTTATAATGTTGTTTCTTTCATTGAGTTTCCTTTTTTGCTGCCGTTTGCATTGAGTTATTAAAAATTATAATAATTAAAACATTTTTTTAAATTATTTTTTAAGCAAAAAAAAAAAAAAATATTGGTTAGTTGGTTTTATTGCAGATCAATATCGTAAATATGGACGAAATGAGAAACGAAATTTCAGATCGAAAGTTCTGGTGGGTTAGTCAAAAATTTCTTTTGACATTGTATTAAATAGTTTAACTGCAAAAATTAGAAATTAGGTTTTGTGAACTCCAGTTGAATGAACTAAGCGGGGCAATCACGTAGAAGGTGTTTGTTTTATTGACATAGTGGACCACCTGAGTACTGTTTCTTCTCTCGGACATTCACCGATCATAATCAACAACGCGACTAAAGAAACAGACTATAGTCCAGACTGGATTAGTCCTGACTAGAATCCAGACTAGACTAAAGACTAAGCCATAGTACAGATTATATTTATACTATAGCATAGTCCAGACTATAGAATATGCGATATTCCTGATGATAAACCAGACTATAACCTTGATTAAAGTCTAGACTAAAACCTAGATGAAAGTCATTACTATAGTCTAATTTATTTAGTGGTTTTAGATATCACTATATTCCAGCCAATGGAGCAGAATATAGTCATGCATATAGACCAGACTACGGAGTGTGGTATAGACCGGTGTAGTGCAGAACATGTACTTAATTAGTTAGCTAGTCAGTTAGTTAGTTAGTTAGTAAGTTAGTTAGTTAGTTAGATAGTTAGTTAGTTAGTTAGTTAGTTAGTTAGTTAGTTAGTTAGTAGTTAGTTAGTTAGTAGTTAGTTAGTTAGTTAGTTAGTTAGTTAGTTAGTTAGTTAGTTAGTTAGTTAGTATAGTTAGTTAGTTAGTTAGTTCGTTAGTTAGTTAGTTAGTTAGTTAGTTAGTTAGTTAGTTAGTTAGTTAGTAGTTAGTTAGTTAGTTAGTTAGTTAGTTAGTTAGTTAGTTAGTTAGTTAGTTAGTTAGTTAGGTAGTAGTAGTTAGTTAGTTAGTTAGTTAGTTAGTTAGTTAGTTCGTTAGTTCGTTAGTTAGTTAGTTAGTTAGTTAGTTAGTTAGTTAGTTAGCTTAGTTAGTTCTTTAGTTAGTTCGTTAGTTAGTAGGTTAGTTAGTTAGGTAGTTAGTTTTAGTTAGTTAGTTAGTTAGTTAGTTAGTTAGTTAGTTAGTTAGTTAGTTAGTTAGTTAGTTAGTTAGTTTTGGATTTCTACGCAATAAAATGCAATGAGACCGGTTTTTATACCCTACACCACTTAGTGGGGAGGGTATATTGGGTTTGTGCTGATGTTTGTAACGCACAATAATATTGGTCCTATACCCAGCTTAAAGTATACCAATCGGCTCAGAATCATTTTCTGAATCGATTTAGCTATGTCCGTCCGTCTGTCCGTCCGTCCATGTAAACCTTGTAATCAAACTACAGGTCGCAATTTTGAAGATAATTCAATGAAATTTGGTACATGATCTTATATTGTCCCAGGGACGAAGCCTATTGAAAATGGTTAAGATCGGTCCATTATTTCACCTAGCCCCCATACAACTGAACCCCCCATAGGGCTTGTAATCCTTGTAATCAAACTACAGGTGGCAATTTTGAAGATAATTCAATGAAATTTGGTACATGGTCTTATATTGTCCCAGGGACGAAGCCTATTGAAAATGGTTAACATCGGTCCATTATTTCACCTAGCCCCCATACAACTGAACCCCTCGAATAGGGCTTTTAAAACTTGTAATTAAACTACAGGTCGCAATTTAGGAGATAATTCAATGAAATTTGGCACATGATCTTTTATGGTACCGTAGATGAAGCCTGTTGAAAATGGTTTACATCGGTCCATTATTTCACCTAGCCCCCATACAACTGAACCCCTCGAATTGGGCTTTTAAAACTTGTAATCAAACTACAGGTCGCAATTTTGGAGATAATTCAATGAAATTTGGCACATGATCTTTTATGATACCATAGACGAAGCCTATTGAAAATGGTTACCATCGGTCCATTATTTCAGCTAGCCCCCATACAACTGAACCCCCGAATAGGGCTTTTAAAACTTGTAATCAAACTACAGGTCGCAATTTTGGAGATAATTCAATGAAATTTGGCACATGATCTTTTATGGTACCGTAGATGAAGCCTGTTGAAAATGGTTTACATCGGTCCATTATTTCACCTAGCCCCCATACAACTGAACCCGCCGAAAAGGGCTTTTAAGTTCATAATTATGTTTAATATACTCATATCTCGACAAAAAGCTGCAATAAACAAGTTGTATACAAGACTTGATGACCCCCACGAATTCCATAATAATAGGTTCTTATATGACTCTAGCCCCTACGAAAAGCCCCCATCAAAATTTCACTTAAATGTTCACAATTTTATTCAACAATAAACGGCTTAAGTATGTATATCTAAGGCAAGGTACAATTCAACTTAAATGCTTTATTATGGCAACTAAATCACATTATATTTTTGTCAAAGGTGTAGGGTATTATATGGTCGGCCTCGCCCGACTATAATTTCTTACTTGTTACAATTAATGTGGTTTTTACAACTCTCGTAAATTAATGCATCAACCGATTTGTCATGCTGTGAATTTTTCTTTAAAACCACATTATGGCTAATTATACTTCATTATTGCATTAAAGTAGACATCTTCATATTTATTCAGTATAAAATAATTTCAGTTTCATTTAAACAGCCTTAAAGGCAACTTAAACGAAAGTAAATACTACAAATGTTCAGACTAAAACTGGCAATATTAACTCTTGTGGGGGTTATATATTTCTCGTCATCTGCTAAGGGACAGGGGCAACCAGTATCAAAACGACTAGTATGTTATTACGATGCTGTTAGTCCTATAAAACCAGGTAAGGTAACAAATACATTGAGATCCTCAAACTCTGATCTTGTTTCCTTTTCGTACACAGAATCTACCTACAATTTTGAAAAATACTTTTCGAAAGCTCTTGCCAACTGCAGTCATCTGGTCTATAGTTACGCTCAAATTCTACCACAAACCTTCGAAGTAGGGAAAATAAGATTGGATCCAAAACCCAGCGATTTGAAAGCACAATTTCCCCATTTAAAGATATTCTTAAGTGTGGGTGGTGATAAAACGGAATTATCTCCACAATATTTACAATTCTTGGAAGCTGGCATTGTCAGACAAGAACATTTCAATGAAAATGTGAGAACCTTCTTAAAACTCAATCATTTTGATGGTTTGGACTTGTCATTTCCATTGCCACACAATAAACCACGACAAGTTCATACAGGTTGGGGTAGATTAGTCAAAAATGTGAAGAAAATTTTTACTGGTGATGAAGTTATTGATGAGAAAGCGCCGAATCATAAGCGGCAATATACGGACTTTGTTAAGGGTTTAAAGAACGACCTTGTGAAGGTGAATATACAGTTATCGATGACGGTATTGCCAAATGTTAATTCGTCGTGTGAGTATTTTGAAGAGTGCATTAATTTTTAGATTCTATAGCAGTTTCTTAAAAGTTTTCAATGATTTTGGCAATTTCCATTTGAGTTTAAATTTTATAAAAAATCGAAAAATGTTTTAAAATATTAATCTACAAAATTTAAATTTTCGTAAATGTCACTAGATTTTATTAATATCATAAATAATTGATTCAAATTTATTCTACAGGGTACTTTGACATCTTTAAAATTCACAATGACTTCGAATTCATCAACCTCTTCGCATTTGATTTTCTTACACCCGATCGAAATCCCGAGGAGGCTGACTATACTGCACCTATTTACTTCAAAGACGGTGCCGATCGTTTACCTCACTACAATATTGAATATCAAGTCGATCATTGGATAAACAATGGCTGTCCAGCAAATAAACTTAATCTCGGTATAGCAACATATGGTCGTGCCTGGAGGCTGACTACTGATTCCGGGTTATCTGGTGTTCCAGTAGTCGAAAGCACTGATGGTGCTGCTGATCAAGGAAAAATATCTCAAATGCCTGGCCTTCTTAGTTGGCCCGAAATTTGCATAAAATTGCGTACTAAAGGCCTATTACAGAAGGTAGTAGATCAAGAGCATAAGTATGGCAATTATGCCTTCCGACCGGCTGATAACATTGGCAACAATGGTATTTGGATAAGTTTCGATGATCCCGAGTTTGCTGGCTTTAAAGCGGAGTACGCTAAACAGCGTGGCTTGGGCGGGGTGACTTTGTTTGATTTGCAACATGATGATTATCAACGATTTTGCATGGGTCCCCCATTTCCGATATTAACTCGCATAAGCCAGGTTTTGGGAATATTACATCAAAAGTACAAGCATACTGTACCCATCAATAATAACGTTATTCCCGAATATTTTTTAAATAAACAGTTTCCTTAGTTTTCCAACGAATATGTTATAGTTTTTAAGACAAATTTCTACTTTATATGTATTTTAATAAAACGTCCTATATTTTATATATTCCTAGACTTGGAATTTTAGTTTTTTTTATTTAAGATTTTCTCAGAAATCACTTTAGATTATTTTCTTTAAACGGCAAAACACGTTTCTCTATTTTGTTGTAGTCATGTGTTTTAAAATTTACTATGAATTCTGTATTTTTCAATTCTCAAAACATTTCTACCGAAAATTTTGTCATACATATTTGTTTAATAATTTAAATATAGATTAATGTTCTAATCATTATGAGTACTTAGTACGTAATACGTAATCACTCATTAAAACAATAACGAAACACAATTTTGTCTGATTCATATCAAAATTCTGGAAAGAGTTGTACGACTTTTGATATTGAATAATACAAATACAAACAAATAAAACAACGGAAAGAAACAAATATAAATAAATTAGCAAGTACTGACTAAATACTGTTCTATATGACGTTTTTGTAATGTGTTTTGAATTTTTAAATAAAAACCCAGTAAATGTTTTGCAATTCAGATCATGTTTAGCACTAAACGAATTTAATTTTAAAGAAGTGTTCATTCGCCAGATATTGTGACTCTTGGTATAAGTAGCACTTCTTCCTTTCAGCAATCAAGGTCAAAAACAGAATCAGTAAAGTATCTTGGGACCATTCAATATTATTGAAATTCGGTCCTATTCAATAACAATCTAGTCTATAGTATATTCTATAGTCTAGTCGATAGTATATTCTATAGTCTAGTCTATAATATATTCTATAGTCTATTCTATAGTCATCTATTAGTCTATAGTCTAGTCTATAGTCTAGTCTATAGTCTAGTCTATAGTCTAGTCTATAGTCTAGTCTATAGTCTAGTCTATAGTCTAGTCTATAGTCTAGTCTATAGTCTAGTCTATAGTCTAGTCTATAGTCTAGTCTATAGTCTAGTCTATAGTCTAGTCTATAGTCTAGTCTATAGTCTAGTCTATAGTCTAGTCTATAGTCTAGTCTATAGTCTAGTCTATAGTCTAGTCTATAGTCTAGTCTATAGTCTAGTCTATAGTCTAGTCTATAGTCTAGTCTATAGTCTAGTCTATAGTCTAGTCTATAGTCTAGTCTATAGTCTAGTCTATAGTCTAGTCTATAGTCTAGTCTATAGTCTAGTCTATAGTCTAGTCTATAGTCTAGTCTATAGTCTAGTCTATAGTCTAGTCTATAGTCTAGTCTATAGTCTAGTCTATAGTCTAGTCTATAGTCTAGTCTATAGTCTAGTCTATAGTCTAGTCTATAGTCTAGTCTATAGTCTAGTCTATAGTCTAGTCTATAGTCTAGTCTATAGTCTAGTCTATAGTCTAGTCTATAGTCTAGTCTAGTCTAGTCTATAGTCTAGTCTATAGTCTAGTCTATAGTCTAGTCTATAGTCTAGTCTATATTCTAGTGTATAATCTAGTCTATAGTCTAGTCTATAGTCTAGTCTATAGTCTAGTCTATAGTCTAGTCTATAGTCTAGTCTATAGTCTTGTCTATAGTCTAGTCTATAGTCTAGTCTATAGTCTAGTCTATAGTCTAGTCTATAGTCTAGTCTATAGTCTAGTATATAGTCCAGTCTATAGTCTAGTCTATAGTCTAGTCCACAGTCTAGTCTATAGTCTAGTCTATAGTCTAGTCTATAGCCTAGTCTATAGCCTATTTTATAGTCTAGTATATAATCTATAGTCTCGTTTATAGCCTAGTTTATAGTCTATAGTCGAATATATAGTTTAGTTTCCACGTTTTCTATGGTCTTGACTATAGTCTAGGACACAGTATTGATGATTCTGTCTATAGTCTGGACTACAGTGTAGTATATTGTCTGTGCTATAATCTAGCCTATGCCGTAAGTAGAACCATAATTTATTCTATAGTCTGAAATAGATTTAGAAATATAGTTTGTATAGTATTCAGTGTAGTCCAAATAACAGTTAGATGTGTAGTCTGGACTATAGTATTTGGAATATAGTCTGGACTATAGGATTTGGAATATCGTCTATTTAGTAGTTTTGACTTTAATCTAAACTAAATACTTATCTATATTCAACTCGATAGCATGACTTATATTATGGTCTTTGGTATGTACTATAATATAGTCTGGACTGTAACCATGCCTTTATTCTTGACTATAGTCTAGTCTTTAGTTTATGCTATAGTCTAGTCTTTAGTTTACCCGATATTGTTTTTGATTAAGGGTAGAAATAAAGTTAAAATGTTTCTTTTCTCTTAAGATTTTTGAGTTGAAGTACCACAGTAGAATCAGACATCTTCTGTCACTTAAGTAATAGCAGTAAAATTTTTAATTTAAAAGAAGTATTTAAAATTCCAAAACAATTTCGCTGGGTTATATTATTCATTTATTAAAATCTTGAAAAAAACAAAACAAATCAAAAATATTAAAAAAACAAACCTCGGATTTGATAAGAAACTTGTCTCGAATTAATCGTACATAAAAATACTAACATCGTATTTTAGCCATTAAAGCTGCTATTCAAAAATCAGTTGCAATTTAAAACTCGTTCGAAACACTACAGAGAACAAACAAGTATTTATTGCAAATAGTAATAATTCCACAAAATATGAAAAAGCTACTTATAAATTCTTTAGCACTTTTGTGCTTAATACAAAGTTCCTTGGCTCAACAGACAAATAAACGATTAGTTTGTTATTACGACTCAGAAAGTTCCACTAGAGCAGGTAAGGTTTTGTACAATTAAAATTGGCGTGTAGTTCGATTAAATCATATCAATATATAATTTACAGCCTTTGCTCAATTACCACAACATGAATTGGAATATGGTTTACAATTCTGCACCCATTTGGTTTATGGCTATGCTGGTCTAACACGTGAGACTTATGATATCTACAGTCTAAATGTGGATCGTGATATGTTCCACTATCGCCAAATAACCGCTATGAAATCGAAATTTCCTCATTTGAAAATATTTTTAAGTGTGGGTGGTGATAAGGATATCGATACAGTGGATCCTAATAAATACATACACTTTTTGGAGGGTGGTAAACCTCTATATCAAAATTTCATACAGTCCTCGATTAATCTGCTTAAGACTAACGGTTTCGATGGTCTCGATTTGGCTTTCCAATTTCCTCGTAATAAACCACGTAAAGTTCACTCACAAATTGGTATGGTCTGGAAAAAGTTTAAGAAATTGTTTACGGGAAATTTCATTGTCGATACAGAGGCAGAGATCCATAAAGAACAGTTTACGGATTTTGTGGGTGATTTGAAAAATGCCTATAACATTGCTAATTTGTCATTGAGTTTGACAGTGTTGCCGAATGTTAATTCAACATGTAAGTATGGACATTTTTGATTGATTAGTGATTATCGAATAGTTCTTAATATTGTAAAGTATTTCACGATTTGATGTATAGTTTGGACTATATTGTAGCCTAGTCAAATCTATAGGCTGAGCTATAGTATGGACTATAGTCTGGTAAAAAGTCAGGACTATTGTTTAGTCTAAAGTCTGGACTTTAGTTTATTCTAAAATCAGACCTATAGTTTAGTCTATAGTCAAGTTGATAATTTGAAATATAGTTTGGATTATAAGTTGGATTGGATTATAGTCCATAGTCTCGACTATAGCTTGATCTGTATTCTAGACAATAGCCTATTCTATATTCTGGTCTAGTCTTTAGCATGGACAATAGTCTAGTCTATAGTCTGGACTACAGTCTATACTGTAATCAAAACCTGAGTTTGGATGTGAATACGTAGTGTAGTCTACAATCTGGCCTATAGTCTAGTCGATAGTCTGTACTATAGACTGGTAGATAGTCTGAACTACAATTTGAACTTAATTTTGACTACGATATGCCTAGATAACAGACAAATCTACAGTCTGAAGTCAAGTATAATGTCAGAAATAGAGTCTTGTCTAAAGTCAGAACTATAGTATAAAATATAGTTTGGATTATAAGTTGGATTGATCTATATTCCAGATAATAGTATATTCTATAATCTGGAATATAGTCTATCTTATAGTCTGAACTATGGTTTTGGCTTTAGATTGGCCAATAAAGTGTATAGTCTGGACTATAGTATATAAGTAGTATGAACTGTAGTCTGGATTGTAACGCGGTATACATGAAATATATAAAGTCTATTCTAGTCTATAGTCTGCCATATAGTCTAGGCTACAGTCTGGCCAATAGTCTGGACTATGGACAAGCCAATAGTTTGGTTTACAGGCTGGACTACTATCTGAAAAACTGCATATTTTAGTACAACTTATAACTTACTTGAAACCCTAAATTATATTTTTATATCTTTACATCCATCTAGGGTACTTTGATATTCCCAAAATCCACAATCAATTCGAGTATATCAACCTATTTGCCTTCGATTTCCTCACACCCGAACGTAATCCTGAAGAAGCCGACTACACTGCACCCATTTATCTCAAAGATGAACAGAATCGTTTGCCTCACTATAACATCGACTTTCAAGTACAACATTGGATTACTAATGGCTGTCCGGCCAATAAACTTAACTTGGGCATTGCTACTTATGCACGAACCTGGAAAATAACCACCGATTCTGGATTGACGGGCATGCCTGTGGTGCCAGCTACCCAAGGAGCAGCAGAGGCAGGTTTACAATCGAAAAAGGAAGGTCTCCTTAGTTGGCCTGAAGTATGTGCCAAAGTGACCATAACACCGGCTGGAGATTATAGAGGTGCCAATGCTCCCGTACGCAAAGTAACCGATTTAGAGCATAAATATGGTAATTATGCTTTTCGTCCAGCCGATGAAAATGAAGAACATGGCATTTGGATGAGTTTTGATGATCCAGACTTTGCTGCCATTAAGGCTGAATATGCCGTACAGAAGGGTATGGGTGGTGTGGCCCTGTACGATATTAGTTATGATGATTTTAGAGGCTTATGTACGGGCGCCAAATATCCCATTTTGCGTTCGGTTAAAAGTTATTTATAGATTACGTTTAGTTATTAAGGAAATTTCTAGATTTTAGTGAAAAAAAAAATATATTTTTAAAAAAAAATTGCCTCGTAATTTATTATACAATTTGCTAAGTATTGACCTTAAGTGTGAGTATATTTTTCATGCTTGTGTTTTAGAGATTAAAACCTTAAATAATGTATATGTACATGTTCAAATACTAAGAAATTGAAATAAATAATTTAAAATATTTATTTCCCCTATCGTAGTATCAACTAAATCTATATACTTTGCAAACAAACGCCAAAAAAAAACTACAAAACTATATTTAATTTACTTAAAGCTAAGCGATAAGCTGATTGACAGACTGACTACTTAGCATACACAATAGTAACGTGATCACTATAGTTGCTCTGATGCGCTGACGTTGTCATTGCTGACAATTCTGTCAGCTTTTATAAAAATATAAACAAACAGAAATTTAAATACTTTGTATTATTGTGCTCAGCATCTTATTATTATCTTTATCATTCTCAAAAAAATAAAGCTTTAACTCGAAAAGTTCTAATTGCCTATTGTTCGTTTTATGTAAATATAAAATATTTCAAGTTTTAAATGCTCCATTTAAGCTCTATTTTAATTGAAGAAATTTAGTGTCATTTAAACTTTTAGAGATTACGGTTGTTATAGCGCTTCGTATTGTCTCTTAAATATTTTTCGTAAAATTCTCGTTCCAGTGCATAATAGTATTAGTATTAACTGATCAACATAGAGAAGAACATCATGAAATTGCTAATTTTATTATCGCTAGTAGCCGGCATATATGGCGCTACTAATGGCACCGCTAATCTTATGTGTTATTATGATTCGGGCAGTTTTATACGTGAAGGTAAATTTCGAAATATTTATATTGGTTTGAAGAAATAATTATGTATTATATTGTATGTGTGGTTAAATATATATATAGTTATTAATATTATACAGTGTGTGGAAAAATTGCTATATATGTATATATAACAATATTAGATGCGATTTTACCCGGGAAAAGACTGCTTCTTTTTGAAATTCCAAGCAAGTGTTGAAATACATTTCTGTATAAGAGATGCTGATCCCATTAAAGCCGTTTTCACGTTATCATAGAGTGTTCCCAACTTTATACCAGAATCAAAAATCTGAAACCATTTATTATATATTGTTGAAAATAGTCCAAACCGGTAAAAACAATTAGTAAAGTAGCCAATTCTACCAATTATACTGGAATCTTTAAGACTGATTTAACCAAGCATGATTATCGTTCTACCGTTGAAATAGTGACGTCAAAATAAGGGACCCCTATAAATACTTTTATTCTTAATAGCTCTAATATTGGGACAAAGTTATGTGTCTCCAGTACGTCTAGCCCATAAATCTAACGGTCGAAACTAAGCAGAGTTTTAATGTCTATTAAATTATTAAGTTAATTGCCGGAAATGATTTCCGATATAAAAATTTCCTAACAATAGAAAATATTTTCACACATCTATTAACACCTACTTATATTTCTGAGTTACTATTTTAAATATAAGTTAGAAAATATAGTCGATCATGCGACTATATAATACTCTACACCACACATATACATTGTGAAGTAAGAAATATTATGAGGCTAAGCCCATGATTATGGTTATGAGTAATTATAATTACTCATGGTCCTCTTATAAGGACTGCCTAAATCACATAACTATTTATGTATGTATATTATTATTAAGATTAAATCCAATATAAATCAACATAGCTATAAAGAACGCACCATTATAGCAATTATCCCTTTGGTGTAGGGTATCATACGATCGCTCATGAGCAACTATAATTTCTTTCTTGTTATACCGTAACCACCATCAAAAAATATTGATTTTGTCATTCCGTTTGCGAAATATTGGTCATATACCCACAAAAGTATGTACATACATATATTGTGTCTCCTTATTAAGTTCTAAGACGTTCTGAGCATGTTCGTCTGTAAGACTGTTGGGACCACATGGTAGAAGCTAGGTTGAAAATTGTCACAAATATTCTCTATTGAAAAGTTTTATTTGATATTAAAAATGACCAACATCGGTCCATTTATACGCCTAGTATCCATATAAGTGGCCATTCGGAATACAGTTTAAAGAGCCATAAATAAGTCAAATGGGCAACAGTCAGGATAAAAATTAGAGATAGTCAGTAATCAACGTGGAATTATATTGCAATGTATGGCGGACAGCGCAGTAGTCAGTTAGTTAGTTAGTTAGTTAGCTAGTTAGTTAGTTAGTTAGTTAGTTAGTTAGTTAGTTAGTTAGTCAGTTAGTTAGTTAGTTAGTTAGTTAGTTAGTTAGTTAGTTAGTAGTTAGTTAGTTAGTTAGTTAGTTAGTTTTAGTTAGTAGTTAGTTAGTTAGTTAGTTAGTTAGTTAGTAGTTAGTTAGTAGTTAGTTAGTTAGTTTAGTTAGTTAGTTAGTTAGTTCGTTAGTTAGTTAGTTGTTAGTTAGTTAGTTAGTAGTTAGTTAGTTAGTTAGTAGTTAGTTAGTTAGTTAGTTAGTGTTAGTTAGTAGTTAGTTAGTTAGTTAGTTAGTTTAGTAGTTAGTTAGTAGTTAGTTAGTAGTTAGTTAGTTAGTTAGTTAGTTAGTTAGTTAGTAGAGTTAGTAGTTAGTTAGTAGTTAGTTAGTTAGTTAGTTAGTTAGTTAGTTAGTAGTTAGTTAGTTAGTTAGTTAGTTAGTTAGTTAGTTAGTTAGTTAGTTAGTTAGTTAGTTAGTTAGTTAGTAGTTAGTAGTTAGTTAGTTAGTTAGTTAGTTAGTTAGTTAGTAGTTAGTTAGTAGTTAGTTAGTTAGTTAGTTAGTTAGTTAGTTAGTAGTTAGTGTTTTTCGTTAGTTAGTTTAGTTAGTTCGTAGTTAGTTAGTTCGTGTTCGGTTCGTTTTCGTTCGTTAGTTCGTTCGTTGTCGTTCGTTGTTAGTTTCGTTCGTTCGTTCGTTCTTTCGTTCGTTCGTTCGTTCTTCGTTCTTTTTGTTCTTTCGTGTTCGTTCTCGTTCGTAGTTTTCGTTCGTTCGTTCGTTTTGTAGTTGTTTGTTGTAGTTCGGTTGTTGTTAGTTAGTTAGTAGTGTCGTTAGTTGTTCGTTGTTCGTTGTTAGTTAGTTTCGTTAGTTCGTCGTTAGTTGTTCTTTGTTCGTTTCGTAGTTAGTTCGTTAGTTAGTTGTTCGTTGTAGTTAGTAGGTAGTTCCCCCTTTTTCAGCTCTTCAAGAAATTGGCTCGCTATTTGCTCGGGGGTATTCCCCAAAAATATATTTTAAAACAAAACAAAGTCTTAATTACGTTGTAAATTTATTTACTAAAAAATATTTTCGTAATTAGTTAATATGTAGTTATTTTGCAATACTTAAAATAATGAGTAAATGTTGTATAATTAAGTAGCAATAAAGTAAAATTGCTAATTGTTAAGAAATAATAAAGTAAATTGACATTAGTTTCTAGTATAGACGTAGGGTTAGACATAGATGTTTCGGTGATCTCATTCATAGTAAATATGTGCAACGTATTTGCAAAATATTGGAACAAACTCTCAAAATTTCTGTCCACATGCCAGCCAATAGGAATTTGCTATTAATGAAGAAACTATAAAATTGTTCAATGCTATTATTATATCCGAAAGAAACATTATAAATTTTTACAAAAATTCGTTTTTTCATAGGGAATTTTTTTTAACTAAAGTTGAATTTTTTTGTCACCCACTGTAGCAAAGTATAAAATGTAGAACAAAACAAAGCATTCAATGAACTATAAATAACACAGGTCAGTAGCTTATCAATGTATTGCTTTACTTACAATATCTATACATAATACTAAAAATAAAAAAAAAATTACTTGAGACTTAAATCCACTATAAAATTCTAGAGAAATCATTTAAATAACAAAAAATCCCCCAGCCCCACAGTGCTCACTAAACAATGAAAGCGAAAACAGAATAAATAAACAAAAAAGTAAACAATTTAAATAAATACGAATAAACAAATAACAAAAAAGGTCTTTTGTGGTCGTCGGTGCTAAAATATCAACAAACTAAATAATTAAATGTTATTAAAATTTAATTGAAATTCTCATATTTCAATGAGAACATAAACACGTCGCATGGCACCTGATCAGCATTAACTACGTTTATAAAATGTTTTGAGAAAAAAAGTGTATTAAATGAGTCATGAAGTCGGAAATAAAACTTGTATCTACTTAGACTTATTTAAATTACTAAAGTATCATGTTTACTTGATTATCAACAATAAATCATGAAAAATATTAAACGCTTAAGTTGTCGCTGGAGATTGTACGAGATCATCGGAAATAATAAATAATAAATAGTTTGTGAGACAAATTAAGATGTAGTGTTTATACACGATTACATATAGAATATTCAAGTTTTTACAATGATCATGTATGAATATTTAATGGAATTTAAATGTTTAAAGTTTGTTTGTTTTTTATGGTAAGTGGGCGACAGTGTTGTCAATAATTTAGTTGACATTTGTAAAGTTTTCAATGGATTAAACCGTTAAAATGTTTTATTGCCAAATCGATCTATAAGGTTTGGCATTGGACAAAATCGGTCACATAGACAAAATGTTCTATTTTTTGGAAGCTTTGAAAATTTTGTCGGAGCTTAATGTAAGAAAATCTCCGGGTCCAGATGCCATGTCAGCTAATATTCTTAGGAAATGTTCTACCTCACTCGCACATCCAACCAATTCCTAAAAAATGGACTCCTCAAACCTCAAAAAACTACCCCTCAATTGCGATTTGCTCCACGTTCTCGAAATTTATGGAAAGTCTTTTTAACTACTACCCGGTAATTTACTTAAAAACAACCGATAGACAATATGGATTCCGAACTGCTCGTTCTACTAGAGACATAATGGCCCATGTGTGTTAACAGTGGTGTTGATCAATTCACTGCATGATAGTTGCACTCGACATTTCAACAACATTTTTTCTGCACTAATCTCTAAAGTAGTATCATTGGATTTGGAAACGAATTTTCCTTTTTACCCACCATCAAAAAATATTTGAATACATTTGAAATATTTGTCTAAGACCCATCGAAGT